TGTTTTTTTAATGAGAGGCTTAATAACAGCCAGTTTGAAGGTTTTAGGTACATATCCTAAAGACATCGATCAATTAATAATATTCAGAAGAGGATCTATGACTTCTGGAAGCACCTCTTTTAGTAGCTTAGATGGAATAGGGTCTAACATACATGTTGTAGGTTTTGATGATTTGACAAGTTTATACAATTCTTCCTGTCCTATAGCAGAGAATGAGTGGAATTGTTCCTCAGGGGATCTATAGTGCGCTATCTGATGCGATACTGTGGCTGACGGCTGCATGGTTATAATTTTATCTCTAATAGTATCGATCTTGGAAGTAAAGAAGTTCATAAAGTCATTACTGCTGTACTGTTGGGAAAGGTCTGTGTCTGTTGATGCTTTATTTTTCGATAATTTAGCCACTGTATTGAATAAATGCCTGGGGTTGTGTTTGTTCTGTTCTAAGAGAGATGAAAAGTAAGTAGATCTAGCAGTTTTTTAGAGCTTTTCTATAAGTAGAAGTACATTCCCGCCATGCAATACGAAATACCTCTAGTTTTGTTTTCTTCTAGCTGTGCTCCATTTTACGGGCTGCTCTCTTTAAGGCGCGAGTGTGCTTGTTATACCACGGTGTCAGACTGTTTTCCTTAATCTTCTTTAAGCTTAAAGGAGCAACCGTATCTAAAGGGTTAGAAAAGACGAGTCAATAGTTTCTGTTACATCATCAAGTTTTTCTGAGCTATTGGATATGCTGAGAAATTGAGACAAGTCAGGAAGATTATTTACAAAGCAGTCTTTTATGGTAGAAGTGATGGTTCTACCATATTTGTTAGATTTAGCTTCATGGAGTGTACACAAGACTAGATAATGATCCGAGATATCACTCTGCTGCAGAATATCAATGCCATTAACATCAATTCCATGTGACAGTATTAAATCTAAAGTATGATTACGACAATGAGTAGGCCCTGACACGTGTTGTCTAACTCCAATGGAGTGCAGAATGTCTATAAATGCTGATCCCAATGCATGTGAAGTCATGTGAGAAAATATTGCATATTCTTCAGGTTAAGAAACATTTCCATATTTATGAAGAAACAGTGATAAAAATATGAGACTGTCATGAAAGCTCTTCTGGAATGTGTTGTTCATCTTCTATGACATTTGTGGGCCTTACATGTTTATTGCTTTATGGTTTTTCTTTGAAATAATACATCTTAGACAATATGCAGCGGAAATATGAAATGCTTTTACTTGTTTATATAAATAAAGTAATAAAAAATGTTTTCCAGAATATTCCTGTACAGCATTTCTTGTCAGAACCAAATGTGTCTCCTCTCCACCCTAGTGTGTGTTGTGTGTCGGTCAGTAGCGGTATGTGAATCATCCCGTCCTGCTTTGTCCATCTTTTAAAATAACCCACAGCAGCTGAAACAAAGCCTGAGAGACTGGAACAGTTCATGCTGATGACTGAACTGACAACAACTGAAGAAAACATGACAATAAACATAACATACAGCATATGAGGGCACAACAAGACTCAGTTCATCAGTAATTTGATTTGTGTGCAATTCAGATTTTGCAGGTAAAGTTGACTCGAACCAAAGTTTAAGTTGTAATAGGCCTGATCATGGGTGAAAAAAGCCTGTTTTCCCAGCTGACAGAACCATGCCGTTTCTCTAGATAATATTAGGCATAATCTTTTCTACGAAACTATTCATTCCTTCTCAAACAGACCCGCATGACAAAAAGTTATGCTGAGTTTAATAGAGTGTTATTTTGGTTGTGGCTTTATTTCATATGACAGTGTGGAAATAATGTTTCTCTGTGTGACTCAAAGCCATCAGAGCCAGAATCATCATTAACAGCAGCTCTTCATCATGTTGTGTGTGAAGAGCTTCTGCAGGTTTGGAAACTCCTCATATGTGTTACTCATCTGTATCTGTGAGAAAACACACGACACAACAGGGAAGCAGAAAGTGGATGTTAATGAAGCCACAGGCTCATGTGAATTTGAGTTTATATGAGACACACGTCTATATAAAACACTAGAGAACATCAGCACTGGAAAGTGTCTGTGATAAACATGCATTAAATCAAATAACACTTTTCATTAGGACAATTAAACAATAACTGCTAAATGCTCACTTATCTGTGTTTACCATTTAGATAGAGCATGCATGTCCATTTGACAAATAATAATCTTACTGACAAAACCGCAAACTACAGAACAAGTAACACAATAGTTATTTGTATTTGTCTCATAAAAAGCAGTAATTCTCAATCAGATTTCAGGGACTTTTTTTGTTTTGCTTGTTTTGCTTTGTTAAATCTATTAAACATACATATTAAACATTTTTTATATAAATAAAAAATAGTTACATAAATAGTAAATAAAAATAAATAATACTTTAAAATACAAATAAAAAGGGATTTATTAACATAATTAAATAATAAAAACTATAATTTTTTGGGATTCCTTCGTTAAAATGGCTTTGTTAAATCTATAAAAATTAATTATTTTAAATAATATACATAAATAAAATAAAACAATGGCATTAGGGATTTATTAACATCATTAAAAACTTGTACAATATTGTATACTGCTAAATACTCGCATAACTTTTTTTTTTTTCATTTAGAGCTTGTCCATTTTACAAATAATAATCTTACTGACAAAAAAAGAAGCAAACTATAGAACAAATAACACAAAAATAGACTTTTAAATGTCAAAATGAAAATGTTTTGTCTCATAAACAGCAGTAATTCTCGATCAGTTTCCAGGGACACTTTTTGCTTGTTTCACTTTGTTATATCTGTAAAACATACATATCAAATATTTTTTTATTAATAAGTAAATAAAAATAAATATTACTTTAAAATAAAAAGATTATTTAAGATTTATATTATATTAAACAGATTTATTAATATTATTAAAATAATAATAAAACAATTCCTTATGTTAAAATGGTTAGTTAAATCTTTAAAAATAAATTATTTTAAATTATGCAAATAAATAATAAGTACTTTAAACCAAAGACATTAGGGATTTATGAACATTATTAAAATATTGTATAATATTGTATAAAGTATTCTGGTCAGTTAAGTCTTATTGATGTGACTGTGAGCACATCAGACAAAAACTCTGATCTACAGCTCGCGGATCTGTTATTTATATGAAGCCCCGTTGAGCTCTCAGCCAATGAGCGCAGCGCGTTCTGCACGGACACGCCTCGCACACTTTCACGCGTCGGTGCGCGAGCACTCACAAACTGTCAGATTACCGGCGATGAATCACGGGCCTAAACCGTCTGATCCCTGAAGTTAATCAGACACCGGACAGGTCTGACCCACGGACGACCAACATGAGCGAGAGGTTTCTGGTCGTGCCGGTGGCGCACGCCGAAGAGAGCGCGTTTGGAGACGAAGCGGACGGAGACTCTGTGTTTGACGCCGGTGCCGGTGAGGGCGAGCGCGCGGAGCGGCGGGGATCGGTGCCCATCCTCCGGTACAGCAGAGAACCCAACAAATACGGTGAGTTCATACGGTCAGAAAGTGTCGCTCTGAACGCTCGCGTTATCATTAACTAAGAGCCGTTATGTTGATAATAACAGGAGCGCGACGCGCGTCCAGAACTCATCAGTAGTTTTGCGCGTCGCGTCAATCGTGTGCACAAGTGAACAAGAAAGTGAAGGGAAACTTCATAATCCTTCTGGGGTTAATAAATGAAGTTACATACAAACTAGCGTTTGCAGAAAGATCTGTGCGTTTTAGTTGACCAAAGAGTTGCATACAGTATATGGAATATGATCTATTGTAGACGGTTTGTTTTTACGTAGATCTCTCTCAGGAGGTTTCATTCTCTCGGGGCCGTTATCCAGCTAACAATTTATTATTATTTTTTTGTTGTTGTTGTTGTTTCTGAAATGTTTAGCATCAAATGGTTTATTCTTATTAATCAAATATTCAGGACATATCACTTTTTTAATCTAAAATGTCACAATGTGGTTTTAAAGTATTCTTACCCATTTAAAAAAAATTACAATGGTTATCATAGTAACAGTTGCAGCTTCAGTAAAACTGGTAACTTATACCAATGTCCTTAAAATACAGAAATTAATATATATTTATTATGTTATATGTAATACATTAATATAACTCTAACTATGGGAGTTTATTTTGTTTTAGTGGTTTCCATGTGTTTTTTTGGGTAAGGTCCTGTGAAATGACTTATTTAGGATGGCATATTTGACACTGCCTGTATTTTGCTGGTGACATATTTATATTTTTACTCTTGTGTGTATTTGCATTAAATGCTGCTGTTTGATTGCATTTACTTTATAATGAAAATAAGCACAGTAGGAGGGGTTTGGTGCATGCCTTAGATCCGTATAATATAAAGCAAAATGTATTTGCTTAGTCTTTATTATTGTTATTTGTAGCCTTTTTTAGTCCTGACTGAAATGTGAGGTGATAGAGTTTTATGTAACACAAGGCCCTTTTGGTTTTACATGACTGCCTGATTTCAGGGGCTTGTCTAGACCTGTCTTGGGACACTTTTCACACTCAGCTGTCTTCATTAATTACCATGACACATCTGTTTGTTTCCCGGGTTAGAAATCTAGCAACCTACATCTGAAAATACTAACAAAACAATGATTTACGTGAGTGAATCTGGCCTTTTGTAGTCTCTCTTTGCTCTTTCATGTATTTAACAAGGTCTATGTCCATGTGGATGTAAGGAAGGAAATATATAACTAACTATATAACCAACTGCATTAATGTAATGCATTTAGGGTCTCTCTGTCTAATGTCGGTCTTTATCTCTAATAGATATGAAAGCTTATAATTGGCCCTTCATTAAATTTAGGCCTTTTAAAACCAAAGTGCGTTTGATTATCTACTTTAGCACCAGTCACACTGCAGTCTATAAAGAAGTTTAAAGTAGTGTTATTGCGAGAGCTGATCTTCTGCTGAAGGTCTGAAGTACTTAAGAAAGTCCAGGTGATCCGGAGACAGCACTTACTTGAGGTGCAGTAATTAAATAGACTGCAAAATCGAAGTTCAACAACTTGTTTCAAAAGTTTCGCTTGGTGTTAATCATATAAAGACAATGTTAGTAAAGGGCACTTTTGGTGATGTGCTTTCCAAAGCTTCCCAAAGCGTTGAGCTGATCCTAAGAGCACGATCAGGCCTACAGACACATTAGTGACACATGAGTTTCATTTGTTGGCGTGTGAAGCACTTTGCCTTTGGAGAAGTGCAGATAGGAGTTGTCTTCCAGATGGTTGCGCTGGGGAGCGTTGGATTGAGTTACACAATCATTATGGGAGTCAAGAACATCTCTGTTCATATATGTGGTGATGCTCTCAGTCTTTACTCCCAGACCTAGAACAATGCTGAGCAATTGCTTAAGTTGCTCCCAGACATTAAGCAATGTTGAGGTCTTGCAGACCCAGAGCAACACTAAAAAAGGCCGTACATCCAAATCCAACCCAATGCTGAGGCCATGTTCCCAAATACTGCAGGCCAGAGATGTTGGGCCTACTATAACAATTACAAGCTTACATGCAACCAAACACAAATCCCATTTGTCTGAGAAATTAAAGGGATATTCCAGGTTAAATGCCACCGCTAATAATCTGGACTCCCATAGTTTGTGAAAACAAAAAAACTCTAACACTTATTGTATGCAAAGTCTTGGTTCTCACAATGTAAGTCTACAGGGTGATCATCCAAACTGAGGTACACATTAAAAGTATTAGGTAAAAAGTAAATAAAAGCTATATTGTTTGTTATTATATTCATAAAGTTAAATGGACTGCAAAAGTGCTCATTTTTTGAACAGTTTAAATTTAATTATTACATTAAAATATATTTGGAAATAATGTGTAAGTAAAACTTAAAACCAGTGCAAACTATGCATTTGTACTTTTTTTTATTATTCCTTTTTTATACATACACCTCACATGATTTATGTATTCTTGTATGTACAATATATTTGGTTCTCCAAAATAATAATAAATAAATAAATAAAATAATGACTTCCAGTCAAAAGAACAGAAAAACAAACTGAAAGTAGTATTTAACCTGGAATATTACTTTAAGTAGCTGTTTAAGTGGTTTCATAGGGCATATGATACTGTACACTTAGTAAGCATCACATGATATTTTAGCACACACATAATGCTGAGTTAACAGATTTGTACAGCATTTTTCAAACCGCGTTTTATATGTGATCTGAGACGAGTGTTTTACTTTTATGTTGACCCTGTTCCTGAAAGCTCGCTAGAAGTTCATGATGATGTTGGAATATAACTAAAACGTGTAATCAAACATGATCTGCTGTTTAATGGACGTTTTTGCATCATGACTGGTGTCCACCAAACTGAGGTCTGATCTCAGTGCTGGAGGGTGGTCTTCACTCAGGGTCAGGGCAGATGAAAAAGAGAAGAGGGAATTATTTTTATTTAGCACATTTCTCCATCGGGATACTGTGAACAGCTGACTCAAGCAACCCTGATCTATTTGTGTTGGCTGTTTGTCTACAAACGTTTCTGTGCACCAACATTGCCAGTTACCAAAGCAAAGTTTCTTCTCTTCTTCTAACATATAAACACAATGCATGTCGTGCAGTTGGTTTCTGTGCTTCTGGGCAGCAATAATTAGCTTTAGAGTTCAGGAGTCATTTGTAATTTTAATTGCTATAATTGGCATCATAAGATGACAATCATGTGACCTTGTGCTCTTGTTCAGATGGTTGTTTTGTTTATGCTTGCTATAGGTTTCAAGCCCTGTTGAACTGCTTACCTAAACATAATTTAAACACTGCCTTTTATCCAGTGGTATTTTATGTCTGCTTTACTATTTTTTTTTGTCATTTTTTTCTTTATATTTTTTCTTTTAAATTTTTTTTTAGTTTGGTTTTAGTAATTTCATTGTGTTTGTTTGTGTATTTATTTATTTTCCTATATCGTTTTTAATAATTGTTATTTCTGTTTTATTTTAGTCATGTTAGTGCTTCCAGGTAAACTAAATAATATTTAGAAATGTTTATAATATACAGGTTCTGAATACTTTCCGTACCCACTGTATATATATAATTTATTTATTTTTTTCCCAAAGTAAGGGTTTTTCTTTTGGTTTTAGATTTAGTAATAACTCTGCTTTTAACAAAACTTATTTAGGCCAAATTCTTGTCACCAAGCACTTGAATACAGCAATCCCAGAATGCACTGCAATGAATGCTCATTATAAATTACATACTTATATTTTATCCAATACTGGGAAATATCAGTAAAATGGTTAAAAGTAGACTATTTTACTCAATATGCACAATATGGAAATGGTGAATAGAATTGAACTTTATGCAAATTAGCATTAATTTTCCTGTTGCAGTGATTTGTGTTTTTCCACTGGTTTTTTGTAGACATGCTTTAAGCACAATCGCTGCATGACTCATCTCAGCCGGTCTGAGCTGATTATTCTGTGAGAGATGACCCAGACTCAAGCAGGGCTCCTCTTCCTCTCCGTTTCATTCCCTTCAGCCCCGTGCTAAAGTAACAGTGTTGCTCTTGGCTCAGGACTCGTTTTTCATGTTATCACGCTCCGTCTCTCAAACATTGCTCAGGCGCTGAAAGTAGCAGGTGTCTCTTAATGCTAAATACACACTGGCAGTCAGAATCAGTTTGGTGTCATATCTGTGTTTGTGTTTTAGGGCACATGAACTTTTAAAGAAATATTTCACCTTTATGTATGAAATATATATGACTTGCTTTATTCCATAGAGCCCAAAAGGAGATGTCAGGTAGACTGTTTTACGCTGATTATACAACCGTGATGCACCATTGAATATGTGTGTATTCTAATGAGGTTTGTGCAGCGAAGGAGGGGAGGAATATTTATCTTTTTCTTACAGAAAACTACCCTATGACTTCAGAAGGCTTGAAATATAATATGCATAATGTGTCTGTGGACTACATGTAACCCAGCCAATCAGGGAACATTCACAGAAGGTTCTGTCAAAATTATTTCCTCCAGTAATGTTAATGGAAAGTTCGTTCACAGTTATCTGGGCTTTAAAATGTTATGTTATGTTATGTTATGTTAAAAAAAAAAAGTGAGTGACGTGACGTGGCCAAGTATGGTGACCCATACTCAGAATTAGTGCTCTGCATTTATCCCATCCAAAGTGCACACACACAGCAGTGAACACACACCCGGAGCAGTTATGTTATGTTATGTTATGTTATGTTATGTTAGCACAAAAACATTACTTATACAGCTTAACGTTTTTTGCTGAAATGTTTTAGATGCATGTTTGTCTAACATTTTTTAAACGTTACAAGCTACTTATTTCAGAGTGTTCAGAGAACATTCAAAATAATGTTCCCATAATGTGTGCAAAATGATAAAATGGAATGTTTCCTTAATGTTTTCCTGTAACGTTCGCAGAACCAACTTTGAACTTTGGCTAGCATTCTAGCAAGGTTCTGTCGAAATTGCAAACAAACGTTCCTCCAGTAACATCAATA